TAGAGGGCACAATTTATTGGAAAGATTTATTATCAATCCATCCTGCTCAGCTATTTTAGATATGACATACTGGTAACATTTATGGATATTATTATTATTAATTATTCCTTTTAATATTTTCACAACAGAAACATGGAGTTCATGATGTACAATCGTTATTCACGACTGATGATGACAACGATGCATGGAGTCGTTATAATATCAATAAAATTAGATTTCGGAAGAAAATATGTAAGTCTTTAAAAAATTTTGTTTATACTACTCGCTATCAGAATAGCTTATTTGCAAACAAAGACGACTTATTTGCTGATAATATTTGATAGATGTTGTACTCAGCCAATGGGTAACATGTCAGGATATTTATGCTCCAAAAAAAGAGACAGATGGCTTTGCAAACAGCACCTAGGCACCTGGAAAATATTTGTTTTTGTTCTAACAGAAAGTCATTTCTAGCAATTTACATACTATTTTTATTTCTTTTAAAAAAAATAGAGTCTTATAATTTCACCTCTGTGAGTCTGTCACACCTGCATCTCAGACATGGCCAATTTCATCCACACAAACATATCAAAACTCATATCATCCTACATATGCATAATGTATTTGTTTCATGATCCAATTAAAGATAGCGAAATGGCGACCATTTTAGTGCTACAAATTGTCAAAATCAAACATTTCTGCCATTGTGGGTGTGGATTTTGGTTATGTATAGACATATATCATTCAAACTTGGTATGTCATTAAACACAATGGGTCCTTGATGCATGTAATTTTTTTCCCAGTATTAATTGAAAATGGCTGACAGCCATTTTGTTTTTAACAGATTGTGTTTTTGGAGCCATATTGATAGCATGGCTGGACTGATCATTTTCAAACTTTACACATACATTATGTAACCCATTTGTTTCAGAAGCTGCTATTTCTCGTTCTCATGCATCAAAGTGTGTTAAAACTTGCAGTTAACAGATTAGATAAAAGATCTTGATTTTAGTAGGGAAAATTGCACTTGTTGCGGTGTACTAACACATTGCTGTGACGCTATCTTGGGAAAATGAGCAAAGTACCAAGTAAATCTGTGTATTCTTTTTCTAGGTAAAGGCATTCCAAGACCACCAGCATATATATATGAACGGGCAAAACGAATTTTGGATATCAACAATCACAAAGGATGGTATTGTCATCATCTTGTTAACTGTATTTTTATTTCTGAATAATATTAATTGTTATACAACTACCGGTAGCTACGATAACAGTATAATTGTCCCACCAATTAACACCAATGTGAATACTGTAGAATACTTTATTTTCGCTTAAAATTTATTTTCGCTATTTTCGCTGAAGGGATGATTCCGTGAAAATAAAATCCAGCGAATATACTTTTTTTCCTATGTTTCACATTAAACTCATCAAAAATCAGTGAAAATAAATTCCAAGCAAAACGCCCAAAAAGCCTGTTCAGCAAAAATTTATTCCAGCGAAAATAAAGTATTCCACAGTATGTTCCAAAGTCTTATGGATATTTTTGAATGTGTTATGAATGCATTTGTTATGTCATATTTATGGAAATTATGAGTACAAGCAAGAATAGATGTTTAAGGATTTATAAGATAAGGTTATGCAACTTTGATATCAATGTATGCTGATATGGGATGAATTCATGAAAATATTATGATATCGTGAGTTCCACAGAATGATATGTGATGAAGATATCTTGATATCGCGAGTTCCACAGAATATGTGATGAAGATATTATGATATCATGAGTTCCAAAGAGTGGTATGTGATGAAGATATCATGATGTCACAAATTCTACAGAATGATATTTGATTAAGATATCATGATATCGCGAGTTCACAGAGTGATTTGTGATGAAGATATTATGATATCACTAGTTCCAAAGAGTGATATGTGATGAAGGTATTATGATATCGTGAGTTCCACAGTGATTTGTGATGAAAATATTATGATATCGCAAGTTCCACAGAATATGTGATGAAGATATTATGATATCACGAGTTTCACAGAATGATATGTGATTAAGATATCATGATATCGCAAGTTCCACAGAATTATATGTGATGAAGATATTATGATATCACAAGTTCCACAGAATATGTGATGAAGATATCTTGATATTTCGAGTTCCGAAGAATTATATGTGATGAAGATATATGATATCGCGAGTTCCACAGAATGATATGTGATGAATATATCGCAATATTATAGAATTGAGAAATTGAGCAAACAAAATACACAATTTGCAAGAACATATTCATCACATCACACCCATACACTCATCTTATATATCTCTGATGATCATAATCATGAAATCGCCACAAATTATGAACTCTGGCAGTGCTGGATCGTCTGTATGGTCACCGTACTGCCTTCTTTGCATCTTTTGCAGTATTCTCATTGACAAAATAGATGAATATATGAATATATTATGCAAATGATATGGTATTAAATTTGCGTTTATTCTCAGTTTTACTGCCGAAGAGATTGAATTATTAAAGAAATTACAGAGGCGTCATGGTAACAAATGGGCACTCATTGGTGCCAAAATGAAACGACATAGACAAGCGTTAAGAGATAAATTCAAAGAATTCAAAGAAAACCGAGGTAATCTTTTCCTGGCATTGATACATAGCAACTACTGCCAAAGGAGAAATAATATGAATAACAGATAACGAGACAGATTATGGCAAATGTACAGCAATTATTTAATTCTAAATAAACATAAACAATTTGTAAATTATTTTGCCACCAACGATACACAAATGTATAATGAAATTATATATGGAATTCAATATAGCACAAACAGTGCTGTGATTAGTTATTCATCTGAGTACTTGTACTACTATGTTCTACCAATACTAATATCTAACAATACAAGTCAGTACGATTTTCCTCAACGGCTGATAAATCTTGTGATTCGTACTTCGAACACAGTCATGTACGCAACAAAGATAAGGGATGCACCACGGCACAAACACTACCAAACGGCACGGCAATATTTCAACATACCAAACCCAAGTTCACAATGATAATCGTGACTATGACTATACAGTAATTATTCAACACACAATTATCTAGAGAGCAGCAGATATGGCATTTGTTCATCCGTTGTGCAGCGTGGAACATTCGGAGACTCCAACGCCATAAGTTAATATATTCACACACATCAAATATTGGGACTCGTTGATATTCACACAACATTATTGTAAATAATAACCAATTAACAACATCATTACAGTAAACTTGAAACACTCTATATTGATGATAGCAAATTTTCACTTTAAACTTCAATAAAACGTACCTAAAGACACGCATGTTCCATGTGGATAGTAATTTCAATAGTTGCACACACCAATTTTTAAAGAACCTTAGTATGAGAATGTTGACTACAAAGAAGTGTTGTGTCATTGATTATAGTCTTTCTGACACGAGAAAGCATTGTACATTTTTTACAAGGTTGGGGGATAGTTGCATAAAACCTGTAATGTATTCGTAGAGGGTCTTTCCAAGACCAGAAAGCATACATGTTTTAGAAGGCTGGGGCATAGTTGCATAAAACCTGTAATATATTTGATCTTCGTAAAAATGTCATTTATTTGTTTCTCTAGTCACTGGTCCGTGGACTCGAGAAGAAAGATCAGCACTCAAGAATGCAGTGAAAGAAATAGCTGGGACAGATGATTTACACTCGGTCACTAAAATACCTTGGTTAGAAGTTTCAAAGAAAGTGTCAACCAGAACAGCCAATCAGTGTCGGAGAGAATGGTAAAAATTTTACGTGAAATTTTGAATAATGATGTACAAATTCTGGAAAGAAAAAATGCTGGTCATCCTATGCATCTGCCTGTTCGATGTATTCCAAAACTTTTACCTCCATACGTCTGTCTGTCCATCCATGTGTCCATCTGCACCTGTATCTCTGAAACGCTCGGGACAATTGCATACATCACACATCATATTATACACACATCCAGTTGTTTCATGTTCCCATTCAAAATGGTCGAATATTTCTGCAGTTTTAGAACCAGATCTTCTTCCTGTGTGGACATATTTTATTCAAATTTGATACATACATTGAACATGATGACTCTTTGATAAAAGTTTTTTTCCTTAGGTCAGATTCAAAGTGGCTGACTGATGTCCATTTTGCTAGTCCCCGTTCGGATGCAGTTCGAAAACAGTGACTTTATAGATTGACCTCTGTTCGTTTGTGTGTCAGTGTGTGCATGTATATGGACATACATATTAGGAATACCTTGACCGATTACATTAAAACTTCACACATACATCATACATAATATTATACATTGACACATCAATTTGTTTCTTGTTCTGATTCAAGATGGCCGAATGGCGACCATTTTTGTACTGAAAAATCATCAAAATCAAGCATTTCTCGGCCATTTACTGATGGATTTTGTTCAAACTTGGTACACACATAAGAAATTAGTGTTCCTTAATGCATGTCATTTTGTTTTTCAGATCGGATTCATAATGTCTAACTTGCAGTCATTTTGTGTTAATGAATGCAGTATATCTGACATGCTTTGGCTGAATATGCTCAAATTATATATATTCATTATACATCATAGATATACAGATGTATCAAAATGGCCAATTGGTGGCCATTTTGGTTTAATTATTGCTGTTCTAGAGAAATATCTCTCAAATTTGGACAAGTACTCGTTTGACAGATACAAGATAACTGAATGTAAAACATTGTAATGTTAAAAAATCATCATAATCATGCATCATCTGACATGTTTATGTTCCAACATATATTACTATATACAAAACTATAGGTCATAGCTTTCTTCTGCAATTGCAAAGAGATGTATGTCTGGTGTTTAGCGTTTTCAATGACTTAATGTCTTTTTAAAGTTACTTGGATGACATGATGATCACAAAGTTACTTTACTTTTGAATTCCTTTCCTTTGCAGGGCTCACTTTCTGTGTTGGTCAGAATCTGACAGGCGATCTCATGTTTGGAAAGAAAGTGACAACGCGGTGCTCATTGAAAGGTACATTAAAGAACACCATTGCTAAAAAGCGTGAGTCTCCATCTTAAATAAAATAATTTAATATTGTAGC